TATATATATTACATTTTCTTTAGTCATCTATTGATGGGCACCTAGACTGTTACCATATCTTGGGTATTGTGAATTGTGCCACATTACCCCATTAAACATGGGTATACAAGTATCCCTGTAGTATGCTGACTTTAATTGCTTTGGATACATACCAAGGAATGGGATAACTGGATCAAAAGGTAGCTATATTTTTAGGAGGGTTGTCTTTTGGGGGGGGGGAACATCCATACTGATATCCATAGTGGTTAATTTACATTCCCACGAACAGTGTAGGGGGATTCCATTTTCCCTTCATCCTCACCAGGATTTATTTTCTGTATTCTTAATGATAGCCATTCTGAATAGGATGAGATGGAATCTCAGTGTAGTTTTTTGGTTGTTTGTTTGTTTGGTTTGGCTTTTTTTGGTACCAGGGTTGTGAAGCAGGCGGCAGAACCACTGACCTAAATCCCCGGCCCCTCAGTGTAGTTTTGATTTGCATTTCCCTAATGGTTAAAGATGATGAGCATTTTTCATATACTTACTGGCCATTTGTATGTCTTCTTTTGTGAAGTGTCCAATTCTTTTGCTTATCTATTGATTGATTTTGATTTTGATTTGATTTTTAAGAGTATTTTTTAGTTCTTTATGTATTCTAGATATAAATCCTCTGCCAGAAGAGTAGCTGGTAAAGATTTTCTCCTATAAGCTGTTTCTTAACTTCGTTTGTTTCTCCTGCTGTGCAAAACTTTTATATTTGATATAGTACCATTTGTTGATTCTTGCTGTTACTTCCTGTAATCCTACTCAGGAAGTTTTTGCCTGTGCCTATGGTTTCTATTTATCTTTTTTATTATAATCATTCTAATGTGTATGAAGTGGTATCTCATTGTAGTTTTTACCTACATTTCTTTGTGGCTAATGATGTTGAACAATTTTCATGTGCTTAAGGTTGTTTGTGTATCTGTGGAGAACTGCCTATATTTAGATCCTTGCTTGTGTTTTGTTGGATAATATACCATATATAGTGGTAATATTTCCTTACATAATCTAAGTCACTTAGTAGATAGATAATTTGTTAAAGTTTTCTCCATTTTGAGGGTTGTCTCTTCACTTTCTTAATGGTTGCCTTTGAAGTATGGGAGTTTCAAATCTCAAGAATATCCAGTTTGTCTGTTTTTATCATTTGTTGTTTGTACTTTGGGTATCATATCTAGAAAACCACTGATTACCTGATGAATTTTTGCCTATGGTTTTTTGTTCAGATTTTCATGGTTTTAGCTCTTACCTTTAGGACTTTAATCAATTTTAAACAATTTTTATATACTATGATTTAGAAGCCCAACTTTATTCTTTTTCATGTACCCATGTATTCCAGCATGACTGATTGATAATTAACTTTTACACTATCATCAGATTACATGTTAACCATGTAGTTTGCAGCTTTTGTAAATTCTCCAAGACCCAAGATCAACTTAGATTCTCATTCTGCAGTTCTGCCCATTTTTTTGTTTCATCTTCCTTGGAAGATGCATACTTTCTTCTATGCGATAATGTTGCATTAATTTAAAAATTATTATTGTTTCCAATGAAGAATCTCACGTCGTTTTAACTTTTTCCCACAGGCTTTGCTTTTCTCAGATTTAATCATTGTATAGCCGTCCTTTGAGCCCTTTCTCAATTTTTTGTAAACCTGAATGCCAAGTATTCCAGCATTTGAAATCATGTGTTAATGAAGATGTCATTTAGTGTCTTGGCCTTACTGACAATGTTATCAGAGATTTAGGGGAAGCATACATAAAGCTGCTCAGATAGGTCCAGGAATGGCCCCCACAAGATAGATTAGACAGACCTTCAAGGTCAAAATGGAGGGTAAGGGGCTGAAGTAAAGCTAACAGAATTTGGCCCCCTTTCAAATTTTAAAGAAATAAGTGGTTCCTAAACAAAAGGAATAACAATAAGGAGTAGGAATCAAGCCCAGGCCGGAACATGAAACAGAATCCTGCATAAATCTGGAAGATAGCTTGGTACATATGAACAAACTGCCTCCCATCTTGCTAAAATCAATTCAGTCTTCCAGTGTTGAGGGTCTTCACGTGGATAATGCCATACCTTGCAGTGTAAATATTCTCTCCCAGATTTCCTTTCCCCAACAACCTCTGTAATCATACCAGCCTCAGTATGTTAGATTCCTGAAGGTTATGTTGCTAAGGGATGTGCTTTATGAAAACAGTGAGATGAAGCTGGAAAAGCATAGTATATAAACTAGGTTATTGAAATCATTATTTTTGAGAGGGGTTATATTCTTTGGGGAATCTGACAGCAACTGTGACTATTTCTCTGTAAGGAAAGCACCAAATACACATGCAAAAAAATTTTGTACAAGTAACTTGGGGCCTAAAGCTGGTTCATAGTTAGTACCCCCGATTAAAGTTTTTTTTTTTTTTTTGGTACCAGGGATTGAACTCGGGTCCTTGCCGCTTGCAAGGCAAGCAACGGAACCACTGAGCTAAATCCCCGGCCCCCAATTAAAGTTTTTGATAGTCTCTTTCTTAACCCATTTGTTTTCTGTCCTTTGTTAATGTTTTATATACTTATTTTATATAATTATCTTTGCTGCTGAGAGATATGGGGATATAGTAAGATTTGTGGACATGTAAGCCAAAGGATCATTGAGAAGAACACTAACTGAGGCCAAAATAGTACTGACAGCAATCATTTGGGAGAGATCCTGGGAACCTGATGAATTCGTGAGGTAAGAATTGTGCCATGGAAGTGTACAGCATCTCTGTCCCACTGGATGATTCTTCATTGAGTCCTATTCTAGGATCTATCTTTTATTCTACTAGATAAGAAACAGTCCCTTTGTGAATCATGTAATGGGATGCTGACACTGAGCCTGCTAGTTAGTTTTATATGGTTCCTATTAGAGCAACATTCACTTCCGAAGCATGGCTGGCCTGGACCCTTAGGCAATGGGTGAGACCTCTGAGTCTCATAGGATAGGGTAAGATAGGGAAGAATGGCTTTGAACTTCATTCATGACTATTTGTGATTGTGACTATATTGTTAATTTTACTGTCTGTCTCGAAGTAGGCCCTCTGGCTATATCTAGTGCTGTTAGATATGTAAGATTGAATTTAGAGAATAATTATCTGGATGATTCAAGTTGAATAAAACCTCATTTACCGTAAAGTTTAGGACATTGGAAACAAAATATCTGAAGTATCTAGTTTATCTTACATTTATATATCACCTAAAAGAGAAGAAAAAGATTTTTTAAATTACAGAAAATATCTTTTTTGAATAATTACAAAATGGGTATTTAAATTTAAAACAAAATTTAAAAGTTATATGTTTATGTAAGAATCTCGTCACCGTTGATTTTGCTTTAACTGGCTCCCCTGTACTTGACCTAAGTTTTCTTTCTTTGAAGCTCAGTTTGGGACTATCCTGCCTGTGAAATAAAGATAGTAGTACTGTACCTACCCTAATGATATTTGTGGATATGAACAAGATAATTGATGTCCACCTTTCATTCTAGAACCTGACACATTGTAAGCAGTAGTAATGGTTATGATGGTGCTTTTTTCTGTAGTCAACCTTTAATCTCTTTATTCTGTGATCATAAAAAGCACTAGCTATGCCTCTTTTTAACATTTATTATCCTGTTTTATATAGTGTAGTGTTATAGCCATAATTAAATTATAATCTCCTTGATAGGCAATAACAAAACTTATTGAATTGAAAAATCAGCATTTGCTTCTCTTACAAGCCATGTGGTCTTCATTTTGATTTTTTTTTTTCTCAATAGAAAATGAAAACACTAGCAGAAAGGAGGAGGAGTGCTCCATCTCTTATCCTGGATAAAGCCCTCCAAAAACAGCCTAGTACCAGGTAAGTGCAAAGCTCTGTATATACATTTAGTATGTGTCAGAATTTTATACTACTGTACTATGGAGAGTTTTCCAGATCATGTATTTTTATGCATGGGGGTTGTTTATCAGCACTAGAATTCTCTGTTTAATAATAGAAAATATGACTTATGTTTAAAACTGATTCAAAAGTGAATATCACATAGTACACAAACTTGCAGGTTCCACATATTGTCAAAAATTTGTAGGAACAGCTAAGTCACAATACTGAAAATGTTCAATTATGCACAAAAATTTGCTGTTTTTCTGTTACAAAGTGATTTCTGTGTGTGAATGAGGTAAATTTTTATACCAGTATTAAATATAAAGATAACCATATCAAGATTGTTTTAAAAATGAAATGTTAATTTCTTTTAGGTTATTGGCTAACTAGTGAAAACTGAAGTGAAAAAACAGGCTAAATAATGTGTAGAAATTAAATGGGTATGTATTAATTAAACATAAAATCTATTGGACATAAGAAAGTTTTTCAGTGCCAAAAAGAAATTATATATCCTAATTCTAGTAAGTGAAATTGATTAAAATATCTATCTTTCCAATTCTCAGATTCAGTATTCTTTCCGAGAGTATCCAAAAGACATACACTTTAGTCATTGGTTTGATCAGGAAATGTAAACTGCTTTTAATAGATGCCTACTCAAAGTCTAATTAGGGAAATATTCTACCAAATAAAAATGTAACAGTACATTTAAGTGTCATATATAAATGACTTTTGCATTATTTGCTTCAGTGTATCTTGGCAATAGTGTGCATAAAAGAATGGTTATCTTGTCAGTTTGTCCTTGATTACCTAGAAAATGCAGGGGAAAGTATTTTTTAGGGGAGGTGGATAAAGAGCAGAGGCAGAATTATCAGTACAACTGTCTTTAATTCTCTACTGTATGTGTAAAGATAACTTTATTGACTACTTCTTTAAAACATATATAGTGTTAGGTGAAGCTTCTAGTTTGCAAGTATACTAAGTTTTTCAGTTAAAGGTAGTCCTTATATCAAAGAAACTTTAGCCTTAGCTCAGGGATCAGCATACCTCCTTCCCCCTAAGGCAAGAACCTATAATAGTATGCATGTAGGTTAGTGTTGGAGAATCAATGGCACGTGTGCCACAGTGGACATTTTGTATCATTGAAATCTCTAAAAGGTTCGCCATCAGTGATGTAGGCACTGAAACTTACCAAGATACTTAGGTCATTATATACCAGTGGTTACCAACGAGGTAGTACAAATCTAAAGAGGGCACTTTGGGGTTTTGTGGAGCATTGAGTTTTTATCAGTAATTTGGTGAACGGTGGCCAGAAGTGCTAAGCAACATATAAAGCTCAGAGCATACAGCAAAGAATTGTGTAATGACTACATAGTTTTTGAATATGTCATGTGTGACATATTTGTGAAGGGGAAAAAAAACCTGTACATAATTATCTATGCCTACAACCCAGCTATTTTATATATAAATACAAGATATTTTTATACACTTAAATACTAAATTTTTTTTAATTGGAGATCAAATCCTGTTACAATAAACATTCAAAAAGTCCTGCATTTTGTCCACCTTTATGTAATACATGTTCCTGAAAAGTTCAGGTTTTTATTATTAATGAACATGCTATTTTAAGGAATCTTATAGTGAATTGTTTCATTAAGTGATATACTTCTATTTTCAAAGTTGTCAAAAATAATGCAAATTTTATAGTTAGATATTTGTTTTCCAGTAATATACCAGAAATGTAAAAAAAAAGCTCTGTGGTCCAATATCCATTTCAAGTAGAACTTTACAAAGCAAAATCCTAGTAACGATTATAGAGATCCTTACCATCGCTTGACATGAAACATGGAATCTATCCTGCAAAAGATTTGTATGCCATTTGGATGCAGACAGCAAAGAAAGAGTGTTTTATATATTGGCATTTCGTATTTCTTGAATTACACTCATACAGAAATTCTGGTTCTGGTATGGTATTCAGTCATCTTGTAGCTTTGCTTTGGCTTTGTAGTACACTCTATTTCTACTGTTTACCATAGTTAATTTGTTACTTAGTGATTAAAAACTTCTAAATGATAAAGCTTTCATTCAAAGTTTAGCTAACATCTGCAGGGGATTTAAAAGAATCCTTTTATATAACGCTCCTGCATCTCAGTTTTGTTAAAATTTCGTGAACAGGCTGGATTTAAAGAAGAAAGACTTAGATGAACTGATGAATTAACTGCATTTATGTGTTAAACAGTTTTGTCTTCAGTGTTCTTTGTCAGACCCATAAAGTACAAAGGACAGGCAGGTACAGATTTTAACAATATATAGACATCATTAAAATCAGCTGGAGGTGATCTCTAAGTATTCATCATATTACCTGTTATAGCAGATAACATCTTTCACACTACAAAGATTAGGAGTTTTCTAAGATGAATGGTTACAACTGGATTACACTCAGCTGCTTTTATTCAACACAGTAGTGTTCAGTTCTGTGTTTAACTATGACCTCACTTTGCTCTTGTTAAGGAGGACATATGTATTAAAGGGCTCAGTTTTTTAAAAAGTAAAATGAGAGCATTGAACTATTATTTGTTAAAATCCTTCTAATTCTATAGGTATATAATTATGATTGTTGAAATTCAATAAATCAAAAGACTCCTCAACACACCACACTCTTGTCTTCCTTCAAATATTACTTCTCTCAGGAACTCCTCTAACTCTCCATAAATACCATTCATGCTCCTATAGCACCCTATATATCTTTTAATCATAGCAATTATATGCTATTCCCTCTTAGTATTCTAGCACCAGTTTATTCGTAAAATAATTCTCATACCTACTTGGTACTGAATTATTATATTCATTGCATGAATTTGTGAATGAATGAGTGGCTCTATTTCTTAACCAAAAGAGGAGTTTAGTAAGTTAACACAATAGTTTCTGACTGTCCTGCCCTCCTTTAAGTAGCCAATATAGGAGACTTCCTTGCCTACTAGTTTGTGAAATTCTTGCTCAGGAAAACTGGAGATTCCTTTTAACAAAATGATTCTGAGTTATTGTTAGGAAGTAATTTTATGTGACGCAGTGCCATAGAACTCATATATATTCTAGAAGTATCACATATATTGACATTTTTGTGGTATTTCCTCATTGTTTATTTAGAAATGAATTCAGGTCATACATATGTTCCCTCCAGAAATTCATAGTTCTGATATGGTACTCAGCCACATTGTAGAACTTGCACAAAAAATATCCACTTTTGTTTTAGATAACAATATATTACCATTTTAAAGTTGGTATCATTTGTCTCCATATTCATCTATAAAATAATGTATTGTATTTGTGCTTTCTGCAAGACTTTGTGGTATGTACTTTTAAATCTTTGCTTACTGCTGCTGAGAAGAGAGGAAAGGTGGCACCAGAGACAAGCATTATGGCATAGTAGTATATGCTTGGGTTTTGCTTGCATTCAGATGTTTGTTTTCCATCCTGATTATTTGTGTGACCTTAGATAAGTATCTCAATTTCTGAGTCTCAGTGTTTTCCTCTTTAAAATAAGAATCATAATGCTTGCATGGTAGAATATAAAATGAGAAGGTGTTTAGAAGACTAACGTATTTTTTACTCACTACCTTCCTCCTTTCTCTTAGATACACTTCATTTTCAAACTTCAAAGCCCCCCACTCATCTAGTAATATATCTGTTAAGAAAAAGCACCTACTTTGTCATCCCAGCATTGTGTAAATAGAACTGGATCATTCAACCTGGCTCATCTTATAGCAGAAATTGAGTCAGAGATTTCCCCTAGGTCACACAATTGATTAGTGTCAGAAATGGAAGTAGAATCAGGTTTCTGGTCCTGATGGAATGATCTTTGCATTATACAAACAAAAGGAGTTTGTTATAGTATCTAAAACCATAAACTCTGGAACCAGTGTGCTGCCTGAATTCTAGTGTATCCTTTACTATGTGACCTTGGCTAAGGGCTTTTAGCCAGAGTAATATTAACACCAGCTCATAGGATTTCAAGGAGGACTAAATGAGTTTTATATATATAGAATTCTTATAGTCTCTAGCACATAATCAGTTATGCATAACACACATATTATGTGCATGTGTATGTGTGGTATATATATATATCCATGTAATTATATATGTAGTATATATGTAGGTTATTTATTATTACTGGTGATGGCAGTAATAAAAGCAGAAATAAAACTACATGTTACCCTTGTAGAGAGATTCTTTGAAGACCATAGCTATTGGGATATAAAAAAGATGAAAGATACAGAATCTGGAAGCAAGCTAGTCTGTAGTATAAATTCATTTTTCCTATATAATTATATTTCTAGGTCTGGCCTGAAACAAGTTCTTTGCTTGACACTGCTTTGCGAATGCTAGCCATATTCTCTGAATTCACAGCATTTCTCCTCAAGCTGGGCTCAGTTTGGCTTCCTCCTTCCTATAGCATGGAGTGAAATCTCTCTGTAGGCAGGATTCCTTATTTCCCTTCTTTTAAGGATCACTGTTCCATATTCCAGTTAGTTGTCCATTGTTTGAAAATGCTTCATATAGTTTTTCCTGTTTTTTCTTAGTTTATTTTAGCATAGTTTAGTCACTTTTGCTAACTTTATTTCTTTCCATTTACATAATTTGAATTTTATTTCTTCTTTTCCTAGGTTCTTAAAATGAAAACTTAGATTATTGACTTGAGACTCCCAATCTTTTTAGCGCTTATTTGATTTTTCATGTCCATTAGTATTTGTTTTATATAGTTGGGTGCACTAGTATTTGGTGCATATGTATTTATGATTGTCATCTCTTCCTCTTGGATTGTTCCCTTTACAAGGATATAGTGTCCTTCTTTGTCTCTCTTAATCAGTGTGGGTTTGAAATCTACTTGATCTGCAAAGAGGATAGCTACTCCTGCTTTTTTTCAGGTTACTGTCACATGGAGTATGGTTTTCCACCCTATAACTTTCAGCCTGAGTTTCTGT